AGTAAGTTCTGTCTTCTTCGTTTTCATGTCACCCTCGTTTGCAGTGGCAAAATTGTTAAACAACCCTGATTGGTTAAATCCCTGGTCGCTACATATCATTGAAAAGAAAATTGTTTGTTAAATCGAGGATAATAATTGTGGCGTTGCTTCCCATGCTCGCCGCCAGGGGGCTCGCGCTTCTCACAAGCGCTCGATTCTTCTACGATTCTCACGAGATCCTAACCACCAGCAATGCAGCGCCACATATAATAATAAAGCCTCTAATAAAGCATACTTTTCAGAGTCTGAAAAATATCGTTTTCAAAATTGTTTGAAAAAAAGAATATTTATAATAATTTCCAACAATCCCTACACATCGTTGTGCAGTGTTCACGACGATTTGCTTTCGTTTAGCGATTACTTGTGCGAAGTTTATATATAACAAAGGATATAAACAAACAGTTTAGAAAGATTGCATTAAAATGGTCAAAAATTGGAGGCTGTCTAGAAATATTCGTTCGGTTACCACATTGTTCGCGTCTCTATTCAATCACATTTCGCTATGCTTTTTTAAGCCCCGACCCGGCTTATGTGAAATATTTTCGTCCCGGTCTGGTAAACAAAGCGCGGCGGGCGAGATGAATCGCGCAAACAAGTAATTTCGTACTATCCGCGGATACGATAACTTCGTCGGGAATAATAAATAATAATGCCCGATAAACATTCAAAGAACAATTCTACGGGGCTGAGCAAACGCGATTTTTTTATTAGAGTCGCAAACATTCGTGTCGGGCAAGGTAAATCGGGCTTTTAATTTTGACGAGGCGATCGTCCTTTGTGCCGGCGAATCCAATAGCTACGGTCGTTCGTTTCTCTAAAAGAATATGCAAGATACTTCTGAGCTCTCAGTGTAATCGGACAATGGCCGAATCCGCGTATAAAAATTAATAGAAAATCTGAAATAGAATTTTCTTGCAAAAGCGTTCCGTTTTAATAAAATCTGGTTTTGAAAAGGACGAGCAATTTTAGTAGTAGTCGAGAGAGAAAATTGTTCGCGTAATATGCGTTTGTATTGCACCGTGAAATCGAAATAAACTGTTGTAAATTATTTTCTAAAAAAACGGAGGATATCGATTTCATTTTATTTTCTTCTCTTTTTATTGACACTTTAATGGCCGTATATTTTTTGTCTTGGCGATTTTCACGATAATTTAATAATGAACATTTTATAAATATTTCATTATTAGCTCGAACATAATTTTATTATGAAATTAATATATAATTATCAATTTTATTTAATCATGATAGCTGAAAGCACTCGTGAGAAAAATTCTAGAGGCCAAAATAGGACGAAAATCAAGAATACTAAAAATAATATTAAAAAGAAATAATTCGAAATCTAAATTTGGTACATGATACATATATGATAAGTTTTCATACTCGATTTTCTCAAAAATGAGGTTTTCTGTAATAACATTTTATTCTTTCTTTTTGACTCATTTTTTTGTGAGATATCTTCCCCAGACGGGTAAAATGATTCAAATTTAAGCATGAAATTAAATTACAGACCCGACGAATTAAATTAGATGGCGTTTCGATGAATGATGGAAGTGTAGGAAATCGCATGTTCCATTCAAGCGTCATCGATAGACAGCTGTCATTGGGCAGACAAGTTGAATAAGGAACACTCGAAACTTGACGAAAATAGATCCGTGACAACGAAAACGGATATTCAGACATAGAGTTAAATGATAAATCGACAGTATGGGGGATGCATAATTTATCGAACGGCAAATTTAACGATAATAGGTAACACTTAATTAAGTTTCAACAGTGTTACGACAATTCAAAGTCTAGACGCAAGAAATAAGTTCATTGCTCGATAAAAGTTCTTTGAGGGACCAAAGTATTTACAATAATATTCCTTCCTACATTTGTGCAATAATTTTTGATAATAAAACAATATTAATTATATTCCAAATAATTTAAAAATTAGGTGTAAAAATTCTTTATCCGAGCAAGTATTTACAATTATATTTTTGTTTAAATTTTGGCAATATTGACAGGAAAAAGATATTAATTAAATTTCGTAGTAATTTAAAAATGACGTGTATAAATTGCAAACTAAATAGAAGAGGGAAATATTTGTTAATAAAACAGACAAATTTTGTAACGAATCGAATATTTGTAATTCTCGTTCGTTCGAAAATGCGTGCAATATCCATTAACATAAAAAGAAAAATGAGACACCAACGTGAAGATTAACCGAAACGTTAGGTAAAAAAGTAACTTGAAAAACAAGTGATAGCGGAGATGGAAAACGCGATACGTGGTGAATAATGTTTGTACAAACCTGTCGCGAATCCGGGCCGCGTGTTTGACGCGACTGCTGTAATGCATAATTATCGCCGATAACAACGGTGGCGATAAATTTATTGAAATTATTCTTCGGAAATTTACGCGATAAATTTGGAGAACGGGCGTCGTTTATATTTTAACCAGCTCGGGTGAGTTTTTCTAATCGATCGTTCCGCCGGAATTGTTCCATCGTCTCCGTTGTCAGTTGTTATTAATGTTTACGATGCGGTGACCGAAATTGTCGTTTGCCGGGAGGGGGAACGGCGGCGGTTTGTATCGTATTATTTGAATTCAGTTCGACCAGATTATTCGGTTTGATTAATCAACACACAACGCGCCCGGTGTCTCAAAAGATAGCTGGCCCGAGGAGTTATGCACGCAGGGACAACCATGAGTTATTGCTGTCGCGTTACCGTGGCCTGTTGTTCCATTGTTTCTATTATTACATACGTCAAACGCGCGAATGAATTATGCGCACTCGGTAAACGCAGAAGTTGATTCGCGAGGCTAACGACATACAGTGCCGATCAAAGATTCGGGCGCAACGTTTGCGTTTCGTGAACGTTCGTACTCTGACGCAAACGTGATCGAACATCCTCAAAATTACAGAACACGGTCAAATTTTCGGAGATAAATATATTATTCTTTATTCTGGACTTGTCGAATTTTCTTTTGGACGATTTTTCATGATTATTTGACTTATTGTAAGTTTAGGCATTGAGAATATCACGTCCCGAATTGTACGTGGTTTGAAGTAGTTTGATACCTCCCAAACAGTTGGAACATGACCTTTGCAATGATCAACTCGATTCCTAGTCAATCTATTCTATACTCGTCGAATTTTCTATTGTCAGTTTAGGCATTGAGAATATCACGTCTCGAGTTCTACATGATTTGGAGTAGTTTGATTCCTCACCAACAGCTGGAACATGACTTTTGCAATGATCAACTTGTATCCTAGTCAATCTATTCTATACTCGTCGAATTTTCTTTTGGATAATCTTTCATGATTATTTGACTTATTGTCAGTTTAGGCATTGAGAATATCACGTCTCGAGTTATGCATGGTTTGAAGTAGTTTGATTCCTCCCGAACAGTTGGAACATGACCATTGCAATGATCAACTTGATTCCTAGTCAATCTATTCCATACTCGTCGAATTTTCTATTGAAGGATCTTTCATGATTATTTGACTTATTGTCAGTTTAGGCATTGAGAGTATCACGTCTCGAGTTGTAGATGGTTTGGAGTAGTTTGATACCTCCCAAACAGTTGGAACATGACCATTGCAATAATCAACTCGATTCCTAGTTAATCTATTCTATACTCGTCGAATTTTCTATTGTCAGTTTAGGCATTGAGAATATCACGTCTCGAGTTGTACATGGTTTGAAGTAGTTTGATACCTCTCAAACAGTTGGAACATGACCATTGCAATGATTAACTCGATTCCCAGTCAATCTATTCTACTTTATAGTCGTCGAATCGTCTTTTGGATGAGTTATAAATGGTTTGAAGTAGTTTAATTCCTCACAAACATTTTAAATGACTCGTTAGCATCGATCAACTCCCTTCCTGATCAATCCTCATCATTTGCTCTGAACAATTTGTGTAGAAATATTATGAAGTTTGAAGTAGAATTGCGTTTGCCCGAAAACAAAGGTTCGTACGAGGAGATTTGATTTTGCATTTCCAATTTACTTTTGTCTACACGTTGCTTGGGAAAATGATAAATGGGGCGTGGAACAGTTTCGGTCGTGAATCATAGGAGGGAAGATAAAGATTTGTGGAAATAATGAACGAGTCGACGCAATTATCAGTTCCCGATGCTCCATCGGGGGGACTTTGGATCTGAGACCGACGAAACCAGGACAATCAGATAGTATTGTTCAAGATCAAAACAATATTTGCGGGAGTTATTGCAGGATAGTTGGACGAATATAACGAACGTCTGGAGTATATTGGTCGGAGATTAGAGTTGGAATTAAATTGTGGAAAAGTAAGTTAATTGAATGAACGGGAAGACAAGGATGGAATAATCGATACAGGCGTTGAAGTCGGTGGTTAACAAGCATGATAGCTGTCATTCAGATCGTAAAACTATTAGGCTAACAGTTGCAAAAGTTACAAGTAATTATCGACACTGAACATATTAAATTCAACCTTACCTTCAGGTTTTCGATTTGTTAATACAGTTGATCACGATAGAAACTTAAATAAAAATTAATATCCAAGAACTGGGGACTTTTTATAAAACAGAGAATTGCCAGAAAGTGGAAGGGTGTTTATTTGATTAATAAGGAGTCAGATAACGAAACAATATTGACAAAAAAGTGATTTATTATTTCAATATTGATATCGAAGATATTCTCTTTAAATTGTGGTCAGATCATTTGATACCAAATACGAGGTCTGTAATTCCCGATTGAACAATTGATCGTCGATAGACACGTGAATTAAATATGTGATAAAGGGCAAATATTTATTGTGGTTATCGATTGTTTAAAAATTTTTTTGTAGCCAACGAATACATTCGATGGTTCGATAGCAACGTTGGCGCGGACATTGGCGAAACGATGACGCGTCTGCGCGTTATAAGTCGATGCAATTATTTACCGGACGCATTCGGCGTTTGGTTGATCACGATGTTACGCTGCTGGCCATTACTTCGATGAGTTAATGAAACGATAATACACTTTCGGTAACTTGCTTCGTCGCCATTCAGACTGCGCCTGAAACATGTGCGTGCATAATTAGGGATGAAAATACACATACGTATACGTGTCTCTGAAAATAAGAACAGAATATTTATAAATTATATCATACAACATATAATAATAAAGTAGCACTCGCAAGCACAGTTTTTTGAAAAAAAAATGTTGAGAATTTCTTATTTTTTACTGCTGTATGAAAGAACAACCTAAAAGATAATACAAATAATACAAATTTTATTTATCTATATTAGATTATCTTTCAGACTAATATAGTATCCGTGTATTCTACTGTTCTTATTAATTTTTTAAATAATAGTGTAAAAAATTTACAAATTCATCGAGATATGAAGGGACAATAAGTCATGTATAGCGTTAGTCGCTGGAATAACTATCAAAGCGTGCAATCGATCATAAACATGCAACAGACACTCTCAAACACTGTCAAACAAAGCTTGCTTCCCATTTGAATTTTTTTAAGAAAACAAAGCTTGGTTTTCACTCGTAATTTTGAAAGAAGTATTCGTCGAAGTGTTGAACGGAATTTTAGGTTTCGAGGAAAAAATCGCGTGTCACTTATCGACATTCGTGTTTCCCTTTCCTCTTTGTTTCACGGATTATAGATCTCGGCCGTTTGGTCCCGTTATCGTGGCTTATTTGCAAGCGTAATCGAGCACGGCGGCGGCAATGCTGTCGCAATTACATTTTAATGGGACGATTTCGACGAACACAGTCATCCGGGTAATTGAAAATTCAATACTCCGCCGGGGATGTTTTCCTTATTGCAGCCGGTCGAACGAAGAAAATTGATAAATTGCACGTTCTCATCAGCGCCACGGCGAACCCCGGGCACGACAGAACGTAATTAGAGATGTAACATTGTATCTCAGCGAGACCCCGCGCACCGTCGTCGGCGCAGAAAACTTTTCAGACTGTTTTAAACCCCGTCGGCAGGATATACTTCGTCCCGCGATATACACCACCCGCGAGGGCCGCGAATTCCCGCAAGTTCCCCCGAATTAACAAGATGGGAATCGCGTCCCGTTCGGCGCGACCACTTTTAATTGTTTTAATCCAATTTCGGGGCCACGGCCGGGTACCCGTGCCTCAGACTTCGTGATTATCGCGTTGTAAAAATCTCTATTTTTCCTCCGGCGGTTCGTTTCTCGCAATGAATTCCGTTTAACGGGCCGCCCCGGGTGAATAGCGAGTTAAGTTGTCACGCAACGTTTCGGCGCCACCTCTGCCCTGAATGAGCATCATACGTCCTATCTATATGATATATTATGTCTATTAGCGGCGCCATGCTTTTGTTAAAAATATGATGAACGACTCCACGGACGCTGCTGTAATTGTGGGGGGATCTATTGTTGAGATCACGGAGCATAGTACCAGCAGAACGTCTCGGAGGGAGACTTGAGGCGTTCTACTCTGGAAACCCAATTTTTTGGGAATTTTTTTACGGGGAAGGTTTAATATTTTTGTATCAAGTTTGAATACATGCAGTATGAAGCAGTTTGGGAGAAGAGTAGGAGCCCAAATACGTTGTGTGAGACTGTAATGTATCTGTCAAGTTAGGTAGCTGTAAACTATTTTGATCAGGTGTGAGGTTGATTTGTTGGAGTTTAAGAAGGACGCCATTATGTTAGACAGCGTCGATATTGGGAAGTCGATCGAGCGCTTGTGAGAGCGCGAGCCCTCTGGTGGCGAGCATAGGAAGCAACGCCACAAGTTGTTCTATTTAAAGGGGCAACTCATGTGGTATAAATAATTTTTATATAGGTGGAGCAAGTGGTGGGCTAGCAAGCTAATTTTTTTAAATGGAACCATATATCTTTTTGTTAATAATTAACGATAGAGTTTGAATAATAGCGTTTTAATAATATGACACGTAATGATATCATGTAGTAGGTCGTTGAATTTGCTATCATATTATGAACAAAAAAAAATATAATATATTTTAAATACAATAGTGATCAAGAGGAATACAAGAGAATTTATATAATGTAATTTTTTTAGTTATATAATTTATATAATGTATATAATATAAAGGAACCAGGTCCTTCTACATACATAGTTAGATCTTTTGTCGAAAAATGTGTTTTTATTGGTGGAAAAAAATTAATTTCCAAAGATGCAGTATTTTTGCAACACATAAAGGTGGCCCAATGGGAATCACTGTACTGACAATTGGAAAAAATATTGAAACATTCTGTTAACTAGTAGGACACTTGATGTACAGGTTGATGAATAATAAATGCCATTCGAAGGACACCATAACAAGTTCGCATGACACGATAGAGATGATAAGATTAATATCAACGAATCAATCGATCGTGTAAAACGTATTCGTCTGTAGAGTAATTCTATGTGACATTTAGTGACACCTTTCAGAATATAGTTCCATTTATAAAACATCGATGACCTTTAAATCTTGAAAAAGTAGACTTTAATGCCAATTCTTTTTTTATCTTCAACTTTGCTCCTTTGGACAGTTCTTACCAGTGTCCATAAGTAACAGAGATATTTAAACGATTTTAACGATCCACCTTGTATAATTTGAGGTCACTTTGTATAGTTTTGATTTTTACAGAAATTAGAAAAGATACGATTGTGAAAATTTAACAGCACTTTTTCGAAATACATCCAAACAATTGTGCAAAGTTTTGAGATTATTATTCCATGGATATGAAAAATATTTCGAAGCAAAGATCGCTCTAAAAACTTATATTTCGGGTTCATTTCGTATAGTTTTGAGTTTTACAGAAATTAGGAAAGATAACATCGTAAAAATTTAACAGCATCTTTTCGAAATATGTCCAAATATATATGCAAAGTTTTAAGATAATTATTCCATGGATATGAAAAATATTTCGAACCAAAGATCGCTCTAAAAACTTATACTTCGGGTTCATTTCGTATAGTTTTGAGTTTTACAGAAATTAGGAAAGATATCATTTTGAAAATTTAAAAGCACCTTTTCGAAATATGTCCAAACACGTGTGCAAAGTTTTGAGATTATTATTCCATGGATATGAAAAATATTTCGAAGCAAAGATCGCTCTAAAAACTTATACTTCGGGTTCATTTCGTATAGTTTTGAGTTTTACAGAAATTAGGAAAGATATCATTTTGAAAATTTAAAAGCACCTTTTCGAAATATGTCCAAACACGTGTGCAAAGTTTTGAGATTATTATTCCATGGATATGAAAAATATTTCGAACCAAAGATCGCTCTAAAAACTTATATTTCGGGTTCATTTCGTATAGTTTTGAGTTTTACAGAAATTGGGAAAGATAACATCGTGAAAATTTAACAGCACTTTTTCGAAATATGTCCAAACACGTGTGCAAAGTTTTGAGATTATTATTCCATGGATATGAAAAATATTTCGAACCAAAGATCGCTCTAAAAACGATGGCTTCGAATGGGAATATTCTTTTAGCCTCTTGAAACATAATATAATACACTTTTCCAAATTAAGAAGATCGTACATCATAATTATATTTCGTACTCTGTATCCTCAACCAGTGTAAATAGTATAAGAGGCCAGGGCATATTATTTGCCTCATCTTTCTCATTTAACGAGCGTTACTACGATATAATGAGGGAAGTTCTTAAAGTTTTTGGTCTTATTATCCGCGTTTCTCGTCACTTTAGAAACACACACACAGTAGAATTTTTCTACGACACTCTAGTTCGCACTATGAAATCGATTATGCGATGTCGTTGCTTTGACATCATCATTGTTCTAATTAATCGTATTAGGTACAAATTTCTTAGATTTATATCCCATGTACTGGGTGGTCCTACGTCAGTAATATGTCACAACCATAATCTCCCACTTCTCCAGCTACGATTAATATCTCCCGACAAAATGCAGAATCATAGTTGACTTATTATTCTTGCGCAGATCGATCAACTGCCATGTTACGTGTCGTGATATTTTACAATATATCAGTAACGTGATAAATTCTCTAGCATTTTGTATCGAACGTTTATTAGGTCAATTTGACGTTAATACCATTTCCACTAATTAGATTATATTTTATTTCATACTATTTTCTATCGTATCAAACTAACTCATCTTCACGATAATAAAAATAAATTCTGAAAAAAATCTAGACAGATTAAAATGGATCATGTATCCCACAAATTACTGTTATTGATTATCTATAGTGTTCCAAGAATTTTGAAAGATTCCAGTTTCCAGAATTCCACAAATTTTTTTCAATAATATTTCTTCGAACGAACAATAATAACAATTTTATTTCATGTTAAATTCGCAAAATATTTACATTTTAACAAATAAAAATATTGCAGGAATGAAACGTTAATCGGGAAAATCGAACGTTAATTATTATACTTGAACTCTCAGAATTACAACTTTGTCTAGAAACCCTTCAAATAGACACGTGAATATTGTTTTAGAAACATGACTACAATGTAACGTCTGCCACAGAATCAATAACTATAGCATAATACAAAAATAATCTCAGGAAAATGGCTGCAGCCTAACGTTTGCCATGGAATCAATAACTGTAGTATAATGGAAAGGAATAGATCCAATAGTCGTAAAAACACTATAACAATCCTCGTACATAAAGTTATAATTATGAGATTATTCAGCAACCCGACTCGTGAAACATTGGATTAATATTTGCAAGGTTTAACAATGAACGTAAACTAATAATTGAAGCAGCCTATTCCAGTCTCAGGGAACAGAACCACAACAGAAAATTTAGATACAATCGCTAACTTTGTAGGAAACTTTATTATGGGTGGGAACTTTAATACACGCCACGTGGAATAATATTAACATAAACGCGAACGAAAAGATGTCAAATTATCGTACAAGTGATAATAACTATTATTTCACATTTTTCATACGAATTTATGTAGTTGGTTCTAGGGATAACAATTATTTACGAAAAAAATGTTGGCTGGTAAACACCCTGTATACAAATTTAAATTAATTTTCAATTAAATAAATAATTTATAATCCAGTTTTATCGCACATATGTTGTATAATCAATAGGAATTACCGAAAGTTTTTTGAGCGAATAGAGTCAAAGCAGATTTCAAAATAAACATAGAAAACAACATAAATAATAATAGTTTATATATTTGTTGAGTCGAGGATGAAACCCCCTTTAAAATGAAACTTGTTTCAAGTCGATAGTGTGGTTAGTTCCGGAGATCTGAGGCTTTGAAGCGTTTGTTTACGTTTCGTTGTTTACGTCCCGAGGTCATTGACCGCGCGTCAGACGAATTAAGAAAATTACCTTTCACATAAATTACGATATCTCGAAAACGGAATGTTGGATCGTCAAAAACCAAAAACCATTTCAAAGAGGAAGCTTCCCCGCTTCTAACAGTGCCTTGATAATTAATAAAACAGTGATAGTTTCGGAACTGCACGCGTCTAAAGTTTAACTATTTTTAATATGCGTTGTTACACTATTCTGAGACAGTGAAAAATATCGTCATAGTAGGTTTAGTGTTAAAAATGTGTCACCTGAAACTGCAATAGATGATCTGACAGAAATGACATGAAGAATAGGAAAATTTTATTTTTCAAAATGAAAAAACATATCATGTAGAATATTAGAAACGATCGTTCTAAGTCAGAGTTTACACTGTCTTAGAACTTATAAAATAATAAGAATTAAATACGAAAGAAGACTTCTGACAAAGTTTGGTTAATATTTGAGTTAATAGAAGATCGATACATCGAGTTGTATAAGCAAAATGATTAATAAATACATGGAGAGCTCGAAGTTTGCATTAAAAACAGTACCTCAATTTCTAGAACAATGCTCGTTACGGGTGACAATACTTGGCCTAATTCTGTTCTCGATACATACGTTAATGACATTCCAAGAAGTCCTAATTCTCGTCTTCCTCTATATACAGGCGTCGCAGCCTTATTCTCCATCTCGCGGGGAATTAAACGAGCAGTTAAACACATTCAAACTCATTCAAACTAGTCCCAGAGAACTTCCCCAATTAAAAATTCAAATTAAATGACAAATGACAGTAAATCAGAATACATTTCGTCAAGAAAAATTAACGAAATTCTTATTCGAAACCACTCGATAGACACAAAGTATCCAGGACTCCGGTTAAACAATCAAATTATATGGAAACATAATTCAAAACAGAACGAGACACACAATAGGAACTTATACGTAGACAATTACTTCCATTTATAGGCGACAATAGTGCTCTACCACCAAAGCAGAGAATCATGCTCGACGCCAGTGGCTCTCAACCTCTGTTTCGCGATACTTTAACGCCTCGTGAAAAATTATAATATCAATTTTTATAAAAGTACTTGGAAAGAGTGAACTTTAGGAATGTTTTACATTAAAATCGTTTTCATTTTGAGGAAATTCAATTTAAAGATTTGAAAATGGAGGGTTCGACCTCTCAAATAATCCCATAACGATTATTATGCAACTTATTTTTACGAAACTGCAACAGTTCGAAGATTGACAACGTCTCATGTGTTTTAGTAAAACCAAAATTTTCGAAGAAGATTAGGAAAATTGTTAATCACAAGATTCTTACATTTATCACATACAATTGTAACTGAAGGTATTTAAAACGAGGAATAATGTGTTCTCGAACGAATTATCTCGAGTTTGAGAACATTAATTTTGAATATTCGTGTGTAATTTATTTTTATTCAATTTCGATTGAAAATTCGTGATTAGAAAATCTTTAAAACCCCCAGTATATCAAGGTAGATTATTATGCAACTTATTTTTACGGAATTGCAACAGTTTGAAGATTGACAACGTCTCATGTGTTTTAGTAAAACCAAAATTTTCGAAGAAGATTAGGAAAATTGTTAATCACAAGATTCTTACATTTATCACATACAATTGTAACTGAAGGTATTTAAAACGAGGAATAATGTGTTTTCGAACGAATTATCTCGAGTTTGAGAATGTTAATTTCGAATATTTGTGTGTAATTTATTTTTATTCACTTTCGATTGAAAATTCGTGATCAGAAAATCTTTAAAACTCCCGTAAATCAAGGTAGACATGAGAATTCTGTAGAATTCAGTAGACAATGAGATTAAAAGATGGCGAGTTTTGTTTACGTACCTCTGGTTTTAACAATTTGTTGATACAGTTGATTCTGCTGCCCAAGATTTCCAGCTCCAAGCGTTCCTTGCGGATCTGTCGAAATAAAGAATCTCTCTTTAAGTTTGTCGCCGGGCGGGAAATTTATTCCGAACGGTGAACGGGACTCACCATTTTCTTCGTCTTCTCCTGGAACACGTCGGTCTGCTGCAGCTGGAAATCAGAAAGCAATTTACCATTTACTTTAACCATATTGTTGCAAAGGACTCCGGCAGTCGAGGCGAAACTAAGAGCAAAACAACGAAATGCACTTTCGGTTCGCGCGAAAGGTTTGCCCGGCCCTGTCCGCAACAAACTTACGTGCTTTTGAATGCAGTTGTAAGCTGGTCTGATGTCCGTCACGCTTTTCTTTCGCGGGATTTTCTGCAAATTAACGTTAATTGTTATTACCGCGGCTTTATCCCGATCTCGCCGAATCTACGCCCGAGTTCCTATAAAGATTGCCCACGAATGGTGTTCACTGAACGATAGAAACATGTATTTTCGTCCAAAATGTGTATATTTGCTACAGTAGTGCGATTAATCCTAGAAAGATTAAGAATTTTAACAATTTTCCAACGAAGGTAGGTCGAGTTTGGGAGCCATTTTTAATTGGAAATCTGGTTTCGTTCTAATCAATCTTGCACATATTTTATCATATATTTGACACTCTTATCAAAAAATAACAAATTTAAAAAAATTAATAAAAGTAGAAAATTTGGTCAAAATAATTAAATATTTACTAAATCATAATTTCAGGTTAATGTGAATAAATAGTCTTATCAAAATCCTATGCAAATTATTTTATCATATATTTGACACTCTTATCAAAAAATAATAAATTTAAAAAAATTAATAAAAGTAGAAAATTTAGTCACAATTATTAAATATTTGCTAAATCATAATTTCAGGTTAATGTAAATAAATAGTCTCTTTAAAATCCTATGCAAATTATCAATTTTCATAGATACTCTTTTATTGGGTATCTATATATGAAAATTAATTTTTAGTATTAAGATCGCCATTTTACGATTTGGTGCAGTTGTCGATAGGGTAGAAGGCCCCAGTCGTTTGAAAAAATGTGCTCTGAGTTGTGTTTCGGAACTGTTAATCTCGAAGAGAGAATCCTGAATCACGTTGGAGGAAATGATGGCGTCGTTACACGAAGAATAGCAGCAATGAAGAATGTCGGGCACGTGACAGTGTGGAAAGTTTTGAGAGACCAACTGCTTTATCCTTACCACGTTCCGGGAGTACAGGCACTTAACGAAGATGATTTTCCTCCGAGAGTTAACTTTTGTACTTCGTCGCGGTGGATGTCTGACGTGGATAAACATTTTTTATTCGTTGTATTGTTTACCGACAAAACCGAATTCACTGGGAACCGAATAGTTGATTGTCACGATTACGAAAAAGTTAAAACATCAATTTCAATAATTGCAATAGAGAAGCAAACTATGGAATCAGATAGTATCAGACAGAATCGTGTAAATGTTATCAATGTCTAATGAATATGAAGTTTATAACTAGTTTTGAAAACTGGAAGAATGTCAGTTTAAGAATCCATTAATGGATTCTAATTTACGAATGAATTTTTGAGCGCTTGTGAGAGCGCGAGCCCTCTGGTGGCGAGAATGGAAAGCAACGCCACAGTATATATTCGCCAGTCATGAGTGCAATTTGTTTAAGTTTGATATAAGGATCAGTATTCAAATTGTTTAATGTATGTTGAAGAAATTGTATAAAAAAATTGAAGTACAGGTCAGATTAGTATTATTAGCAACGTGACGTAGAATAATTGGAAAAATTATTGAATTCTCGCTGGACAAATACGGTGGATGCATTATGATGTGGGTCGGAAGCGGATATAATGAAAATACCGAAATAGAGAACCAAAGTTATAAGAGGTCAAATAAATTAGTGTCAATTATACAGCATTAACTATTGTGCAAATAGAAAGGTACATTGGACATACATATTACTGCTGAAAAATTTAATTTTTTACGCAGTAATGCAAGCTGTAGACACTGCAATGTTAAAAAGTACTTTGATAAAAAAATAATCATTGTTCTAGTTAGCAAGGTCGTCAAAATCAATATAATTTTAGTTTTAGCCATTTCAAGTCATATACAAATAAATTAAATTTAAATAAAATGGTTGATATAAAAATTTTATATGCATATAGAATTTTAGTTCAATTAAAACTTTTCTAATACAATGAAAAGATTTAATTTATTGTTACCAATTTTATATATTAAATTTAACTTTTCTGTATAAATCAGTGGAACCATTTTTTATTATAAGTCATGTATGTCATTAAGTACAATTTTTTCTGTAGATTAGTGATGTTTGCCAGTCTAAGATAATTGCAAATAAAAAGATTCCCTAAACTTATTTTAAATATTCGGTTTTTATCAATTTAAACTATGCACGTAAATGTATTTCAGTCAATTTCTACAGAATTTTTTATGCATTCAACATGTCCCCATCTATATTTTTCTACGTTAAAAATTGTTTACTCTTCCTTAAATTATGATCCTAGGGGTGACTACCCTTTGGAAAACACTGTTCTAGGATTAATCGCTAATTTACGTTGGTGTTCTAGTAAATCTTCACAGAATTGTTTACGCGTTCAAAATGTCAATATCCACATTTTTCCTTAAATTGTAATTCTAAGGGGGACTGCCCCCCTTTGGAAGACACTGTTCTTGGATTAATCGCTAATTTACGTTGGTGTTTTAGTAAATTTTCACAGAATTGCTTCAAAATGTCATTATCCACATTTTTCCTTAAATTCTGGGGGGGACTACCCCCTCTTAGATGACACTATTCTAGGATTAATTTGTTAATTTACGTCAGTGTTTTATTAAATTTTCACAGAATTGTTTACGCGTTTAAAATGTCTTTAAACACATTTTTCTGCATTAAAAATTGTACATTGTTCCTTCAATTGGAATTCTAAGGGAGACTACCCCCCTTTGAAAGACACTGTTCTAAAATTAATCGTCGATTTACATATATTTTAATTTCGATCAGCCTTTAAGAGGAATAACTATTTTTAAAAATAGCGAACGCTCGGTTTGAACCCATTCAGAGGCAATCTTTGGGCAGTCGAGCCGTTTATACCTTCTCCGTTTCCTTTCTCAGCGTCAGAAAATCCTTTTCGATCGTGGCGGTCGCCCTGGTGCCCTGAGATCGATGTCGAACGGTAGGTGAATTAATAAACGGGTTTCGTAAATAGAATGAATGGGTACACGGTTCTTTGCCTCCGTCGGCCTTAACACGGTCGCGCCCGCCCAAGGCTGGCCTCGCGTTTAAAAATAAAGGACACTTTGACGAATTCGGTCAATCGCGAGTAGAGCAAAGCGGAACACTCGACGCGCCGATAACTTCGCGTCCAATCGAATTAACCTTTACGCTCGTTAGACGTCGGGCGAAACTTTCGATCCTGTCGTTGACCAGAGTTCAGGAAACACCGGGGAAACACAGGGCACGGCGAGCGCGAACGATCCTGGCAGGGGCACTTTAAACCGACACTCTCGAGGCTAGACGCGCGTCGAGCACAAGGGTGACGCGATATTTTCCTAACGACGAGAAATAATTGGACACCGCGTATTCTCTCGCGACTTAACCCCTTGACGCTCATACTTTTCGGGTTGCACCAACAATGATCAGTTTTCTCCATTGGACTTCTTTCTAAATACTCCTGACAAACAGTGTCTCGATATATGACAACGAATTTATTCGCTTATATGATTACGACCTACCCCCCACCATTTTGAGGTGCTGATGTTGAATAAATATGTAAATATTATCCAAATTATGTCGCGTTTGGTCTCGTTTTAATCAGAAAAATGTGACGAATCTGTTGAACAAATTTGTTACGAGAAAATAATAAAAAATAAAAACGAGAAAATAATAAAAAATAATAAAAGCTTTGTTGCACCAAGAATGATCATTTTTCTTCGTTGGATTTCTTTCTAAATACTCCTGACAAAAAGTGTCTCGATATATGACAACGAATTTATTCGCTTATACGACTACAACCTATCCCCACCAATTTGAGGTGCTGGTTGTTGAACAAATATGTAAATATTATCCAAATTATGTCGCGTTTGGTCTCGTTTTAATCAGAAAAATGTGACGAGTCTGTTTAAAAAGTTTTTCACGAGAAAATAATAAGAAATAAAAAAGTTTTGTCTCCCAAGGATATTCGACGCTGTATTAACCTACTCGATGACACGATGACAGTCCCTGAGAATCGAAATTTTTAAATATTTTTCAAAAAATATGTTTTTGGTATTTTATTGAATATATTAAACAAAAATAGGGGGTCTGTTGATTGTGTTTCGATAATACACACGTTTTCTATATTTATATTAAATGGAAAACGAAACAAAGCTATAACAAAATATTCTTTAACTAAAAATACAGACATTATTGCATATATTTAGCTTAATTTTGTACATATAAGTAACTATATGGACAACGATGGAGTAAATCCAGATCACCAATTTCTTTCGTTTTCTACTGACTTTGCATCAATGAAAGTTCACTTGCATTCTACTAGAATATAATTGTTTCTATTATTTCCCTGCTGTGGAAGTTTTTGATTCAGAGTAGCGGCGGTTTAATTAACGCTACATTTCGTACGCAAAAATTCGATTTTTTACATTTCCGCTGAAAGGTCTAAAAAAAACATTGAAAAATTTCGACGCCGGTGTATTTATAGGTGCTGCAAGAGCAACCTCGTTTCCCCGACTTATTATTTTAATTGAAGTTGAACGGCACTGATAAACACAATGAAATATGTATGAAACGACGAATGAAATAGAAATTGCGTCGCAACGTGCGGCAAAGATCACGTTGCGCCGCATCATCCTGCGTTCAATGTGCATTTAACCTAAATGGTATCGGTGGTTCTCCATTCACCGTCGTTCCCGGGGACAAATAAATTCGAAAAAACTAACGAAACGATCGAAATAGCTGTGAAACGAGAGATCTAGAGAATTACCGGAAGAGAAAGTTCGATCAGAGCGGAAAATAGCGAATTTCCGACTCACCGCGAGCAAGAAGACGAGGACGATCAGGATCATAACCCAGGTGAGACACGTGACGAACCAGCAGTGCGTGCCCAAATTGATCGCGCGTCTCAGTTTCGCGTCAGCCAGCAACAATCGATAGATCTGAAAGCAGAGAATTGTTTTTAATCGTCGCGGAGCAAAGTCGTTGGAGGATTAAAAAGAAATAATAGAACATTGACCAGCCAACTGGGCCCGAAACTCGGTGGATGGTGTCTGTAGAATTTCGCGGCGTCCATGGCGCGTCTCAGCGTCGTAAACTTGACAATTTGTCGCGATTGTCGCGGGGCATCGCGTAAATTTCGTTCCGCGTGAATTGAACCGGACGAAAAGAGAAAAAAAAACGAACAAAAAAAAAAGAGAACTGACAGCTTTGACGGACCGTTGGACAGAAAATGGCGAATTCGACGCGCAAGGGGGGGTGCTCGTCGTCCCTGCGACGGCGGTCACCACCCACGCAGTGATCGATCACGGACTGCGATAACAGTAAACATCGACGGTACAAATTGATGCGGCATATTCAAACAACGCCGGTGACGATGACGATAATCCGGGGACTGGGTCCAAGAACGGACACCCTCGTAACGACATTATCTTTTCCAACGATCCCACGTGGCTAACACAACACTTGCTCGATGGAATCCACGAGCTCCATTTTATCAATCTTCCCCCAACGTTCTATGGCCCCTTTTCACTTTGATATTTGCACTTTCTTTCGTTATAATCGTGTTGGTCGAGCACTTGTGAGAGAGATTAGTGCGTGGCCCTCTGGTGGCGAGCATCAGGAGGTGTCATCGCGTATGTGTGCCAAAATTTCTGTAACTATGTCATCTTTGAGTCATGCTTAAGATCGCAAACATTAGAAAGAGATGGACAAATATTTCATTTTGTTTTTCTTTAAATTTTCGGATTCTTGGGCTAGTTTGCCTACCTTGAGTGTTGACGTTGTATTGTTATTAGTTTTATTTAGTTTAATTAATGTCGCAGAAGAGAATTTGAAAAGATCAATGAGGAAAATGATTGTTTTGTCGATCAAGTACTTGTGAGAAAGGTACAGGTGGGAGCGTAGCCCTCTGGTGGCGAGCATCAGGAGGTGTCGTCACGTATATAAGGATTCTTTCGTGTACCAAATCTTCTGTAACTATGCTATCTTTGAGTCATTTTTAAAATCGCAAACATTAGAATGAGATGAACGAATATTTCATTTTGTTTTTCTTTAAATTTTCGGATTTTTTGACTAGTTTGCCTACCTTGAGTGTTGACGTTATATTGTTATTGTTTTTATTTAGTTTAATTAACGTTGCAGAAGAGAATTTAATAAGATCAATGAGGAAAATGATTGTTTCGTCGATCAAGTACTTGTGAGAAAGGCATAGGTGGGAGTGTAGCCCTCTGGTGGCGAGTATCAGCAGGTGTCATCACGTATATAAGGATTCTTTTGTGTACCAGAACTTCTATAACTATGTCATATTTGAGTCATTCTTAAGATCGCTAACATTAGAAAGAGATGAACGAATAATTCATTTTATTTTTCTTTAAATTTTCGGATTCTTGGGCTAGTTTGCTTACCTTAAGTGTTGACGTTATATTATTATTAACGTTGCAGAAAAGAATTTAAAAAGATCAACGTGGAAAATGATTGTTTCAGTGGATGATCAAGTACTTGTGAGAAAGGTACAAGTGGAGCGTAGCCCTCTGGTGGCGAGTGTGGGAAGTGTCGCCACGATATATTATTTTCTGAACACGTTTGAATTTGCATTTTTGAAACATGTTATAGTTCTTTTAATAATCTAGTCATTTGTAGTTGAAATATTTAATAATACTAAAAAACGTAATTTTTATCGATAGTTAGTAAATATCATAAATATGTAATTAAAATTGACTCAGTCAATGATGGACAAACTGCTGTCTGCTTAAAATTTTTATCCAACCGATTTAAGGTCGTTTTCCATTTTTTACATTTCCGAAAATTTCCATAGAGAAAATACATTTTTACGTATGTAAAATATAGTAGTGAGAATTTATGTAGAAGTTGATTCTAAAAGCTTTTACATGTGCGAAAAATGGAGCTCGCCATAATAAACGTGCATAAAATTATTAAAATATACTTATTTCTTTTTACATTTAAAATTTGAAAAAAAGAGAATAGAAAGAAGATTTTATTGCTTTTTATAATCAATTATATTGCTCCACTCGTGAAAAAGTTTGTCCATCGCGAGATTAAATTGTCACGAAACAGTTTATTTCTAGGAGACGATTCTCCAAAAACAATATAAAAGGGACAAAACAAATTACAATTAATTAAATCAATATAAAATATACGGAAAACAAAAAACATAAAATTTCGATTACATCTTCAGAATATTCATGAATAAACAATATATATAAAAAGAACTATAAACAGAAAGTAAATAAATGTAAAAAGAGGTAAATACCTATAAAAAATTTGAAATTACATTCAATTTTAATTATTTCACTTGAAAAAAAATTGTGAACGTTCCTAAAACATAAACAAATACGTACACAAAGTGTCAAAATTAAGAATACTCTTTTTCTAACAAAAAAAAATGAGATTCTAAATTGGAATTTCCTCTTGGATCTAAAAGACTCTCAATCGAGAAGGTGGTCTCAAACTTTTTGCCCGTTACTGTACACTTTTGGCATTGATTCAGCAAGCTACTATGATTTTTCATTCGAGATTCCCCCGGAATTGTTGACGATGCCAAAGTGAATGGACCGGTCGATTGTCCAAGTGGAAACAGAAATCGACACATCGGGGATTTCCAGTGGAGCCACGTCTCCCGTGCACCGTCAATGACGATGAAAATATTTAATGACTCGACAGTGGCGCTCTAGCGGCAGAAAATCGAACCGACGAGGCGCGCGATCATCGACGCAACTGTAAACAGATGCTTATCACGTTCTTTCGAATCCCGCCTACGCTGAAACGTCCTACCGTTTCGCGTTGGAAATAGAATTTCATGACTATTTGTTGGCAACGTTTGAACATTCCAAGGGAACACAGTGCAGCTGTATAAAAGACGTCCCTGTAAATTGTGGCGTAAATTGAAAATGTTTTGAGGGTACGAAGCTGGTATTTGCTTTTCAGCGAACGTTTCATCGAATTTCTGCGAAGTTTCGCTTGGTCTTTTATTTTCTGATCATTGTACAGGTCGAGTATAGCTTAGCAATTTAAATGACTGTTTCGTTTTGGATATTAGAACGAGGGAAAATGGGCTCTGCTTAGTGGAGTGAACGTAAAGATAAGTTTTTAGAAGAAGGGGAAAACTGTTCATTTTTTTCTAACAATCCTTTTGTCCAGAACTGAAATTTTCACGCTTCTTTAATAACCAGGCTATCCCCTGTTCCCGTGTTTGGATATAAAATGTATAGTTTTGGTTCCATGCTTATTCGACATTTTTAATTTTTTGTTTATGGAACTCGAATATAATTTTGAACGATTCGTGGTAAAAAATTGAATGAATATAATATAATTTACTGTTATATATATATATATATATATATATATATGTATTTGTTTATTTTTAATTTTGTACCCTTATCTGTGTTCTTGTGAGCATTCATTATTTGATTACACTTCTGAATGGTGGCTGTGGTGAAAGTACTTTGAGAATATATATTGTTAGCAATATATTATTACTACTGTTTATTCTAGAATTCATAATTACTAATATTAAACGTCAATTAATAATAGCAATCATTTATGCCAATTCTCTGGGGTTCGAGTTTCATCGAATATCACTATCGGTTTCAAAATTATTAAAATTTAGATGAATCAAAGGGTTTGGAGAAGCTTAATTAGTTTGTCGAATTTAGAGGTTTAATCAGTACAATTTGTTAGTAATTTTATAATAATTATTCGTTCAATTTCGAATGATAGTTAAAATAGCTCGAGATGTCCTCGTATAATACGAAGAATATCCAGTCTACTACTATTTAAAATACTGATTCTTCTTTGGTGACTCGAAATAAGACGAAAATCAAGAATATTAATTTCTTGACTGAGGCTTCGTTAAGAAGTTATTAAAAAATTAAATTAAACAATTTCAAATCATTCTGGAAAAATTATTTTCAATTGCAGGGGTCAATTACAATCATTTTTGGTGAATAGAGATGCCATCGAATTCTTAACCAGTTTCGAGAAAAAAATTCGAGTAAGTGCTGAAATTTTTTGGTGAAATTGAAAAATTTCAAATCGTTCTAAAAAAATTATTTTCGGTTGCGTGGGTTAATTACATTAATTTTTGGTGAATAGACATACCCTCAAAATCCTAACCATTTTCGAGAAAAAAATTCATTACCGAAAATGACATGTCTGACCACAGCGTTGATATGTATCACTGAAATTTCATGCGAATCTTTAAAACGTCATAACTTCTGAACGGATTGGACGATTTTAATGTTTAAAACGGCAAACAACGCGTATTTTAGTGGAGAATATGTAGAAATTCCAAAAATATTCAAAAAGTTGTTCCATCATCCCGTATAGAGAGAAAAACCCCATAAAAATGGTCCAATTTTCAAACAGCCATAACTCCTGCAATAGTGAATATATTTCGATGAAACTTTTTTCTGATGTAGAGCTTATAGATAGCTACAAAAAAGTATTAAACAACTTTTCTCTACAGCGTCAAACAAACTTATTAAAAATGAAAAACGAATTTTTAAGAAAAATCAGGGAGGTATAGATGCCTAAATTTCTCGGCGAAAAGAAAAATTTCGAATCGTTCTAAAAAAATTATTTCTAGGTTCTGGGGTCAGATACAATCATTTTTGGTGAATACATATACCCCCGAAATCCTACGTACTTTCGAGAAAAAAATTCAAGAAGGTGCCTAAATTTTTCGACGAAAAAAAAAAATTTCATATCGTTCTGGAAAAAATATTTTCAGTTACAGGGGTCAATTACAAGCATTTTTGGTGAATAGACATACCCCCGAAATCCTACGCATTTTCTAGAAAAAATTCCTTACCGAAAATGGTTCCCCGAAATTTCATGCGAATCTTTAAAATGGCATAACTTCTGAACGGATTGGAGGATTTTAATGTTTCAAATGGTAAACAACGCGTATGTTGGTGTAGAATATGTAGAAATTCTAACAATAATGAAAAAGTTGTTCCTTGACCCCATAAAATGAGAAGAACTACATAAAAATGGTCCAATTTTCGAACAGCCATAATTCCTGCAATAGTGAATATATTTCGATGAAACTTTTTT